AATCGAGTCAACCCGGGAGATAAAAACTTGCTGGACATCCCACTCCTTATCCTGTCTATTATGGAAGAAAAACTGAATTGGCAAAGCACAGGAATGTTCAAAATTAATTCATCCACCTTAAGTCTTATTATTCTACGGAAAGCAACGGTCATGGATTCTTTCTGCTCAACAATCGAATTATCAGCCACGGTCTGATTGGTCGTAGCCCAAGCAGGAGTCCATCTTGGAGCAGTCTCCCCCATATTCCATTATTCCGATGGACCCCGAGCATGGTGGGTCAGTTTGTGCAATGAATATGCTGGCTGCCACGTTCGATGGCATCATTAGATCAATTATCTTAATCTGCCATCCATGGAATTCTTAAACTATCCCCTCTCTCCAGCCTAAGGATACCTCCAACCTCCGGAACCTTACAGGCATTGTTAACTCGGCAAATATCAAGCATTATTGCAAAATACAAGTTACAGCATCATTGCCGCGAAAAATCTTTCCGTCTTCTCATACGTCAGAATCCGGCTCGTGTTGATCGTCTCGGGTTAGCTTTTTCCCAGCAGTATTCGATGGTGTGAGTGATTTGGCTAAAGTTTGCCACTGGCCTATGGTAGAATAGCGTGATCCTACCGAGGTAATGTCAGACTCCAGGTATCATTATTTTGATTGGAAGCTCTGGAGTACAAATTTTTGTCCCTTGTTTCAAACGGGATTATTAGCGAAGTTCGATCGTCGATTTCCCAATGATTAGGCGGACATGTCACCCATACACTCACTGCATTGTGATGGGAGTCGTGAATTTGAGGGCCTATGTGTCCTATGATAGTCGGCATGTGCACATCCTGAGAGATGTGCAAACCCTTTGGCTGGAAAATACTTCCAAGAGTAAATATTCACGTCAGCAGCTAGCTAGTTACCTCAAGAGTAAAATATTTTTTGGATGCTGTCTGAGGACTCCAATTGAGTTTTCAACCAGGTCAGGTAACCGTAAACTCACCTTACCTCAACTTCCTGTTGATTCGGAAAGCAACCCAGAAGATAACAACTGAAAATAATAATGGAGAGAAGCAAAGATTCAAAACATCTTGGACTGTTCCATTTCATTATTCTGGTTGCTCTGCACATGCTAGTGAATATCAGTTCATGGCTTCCCAGGCAGTATCCATCTCCCTGACGTCAACAGGAAGCATCTAAAAGAAAGGTATTGCCCGTACCGTGGTACCGACAGCGGAGTTTTGTGGGACGTCTAAAGTGGTTGTATTGGTTAGCCTATCTCGGGGATGCTCTATACTACTGTGCGGTGCCGCTAGTCCATAATAGGAAGCCTAGGCTCCAACAGATAAAACAGGGTTTAGTCAGATCCAAATCACGTGCCTCCCTATATTATTTTGATGCCGTTGGTTAACTATGCCATCCATCGATGATCACCACTCGTTTTTCATATATTGAAGTGTTCCAAGCCATGAATCTAATGTCATTCTACTGCAAACAATCCCTTGCTGCGAGATGTGGGATACATAGCAAACTTTCATCCTTCTGACAGCAATTGGAAAGGTGTCCCCGTAATACACCGTTCCCGATCTCAGCATCTGATTATCTGCAGGCCTAGGAAAGCGGCCATCGTGCATAAATTATGAACAACCTATAATGACCGTTGTTAGCCCAACCCTGTCGCCGCCAGCTACAAGTGGAGCAGACATGACTCAACATAATAACCATACACAACCGGCACACGGATCAAACAGATCAACTTGCATTGGCTTTATGTATCGGACTGCTCTGGTCATCACAGGACACGGCTTCAAAAATCCTCTACGTCACTCCCCGATTTTCTCAACCTGAAACCAGCAAACGCAAAAACCCATCACTGAAGCAAGAGAACCTACTAGCAGGGTTAGGCTTGTCATACCCTCCATATATCAAAGCGCAACGGTCCCATTTTCTTCTTGTCAAACCCAAAGTTTCCTGTCTTCCTCTCTAGTGTATATCCCCTCCTCGCGACACAACTGTATGGAGGTGACTGGACTGAGAAAAAATCTTATTCTATCCCTTTACGTAGACGATTTGGACTTTTGTTTCTTTTTCATGTCGGCATTTTCGGTCATATCTCGCTTACCTTGCCAAGTCGTCTTCCAGAGGGGAAAATGAAGGATTTTTCAGGATATGAGATGCCAAAACCCAAATAGCAAGCAGGAATTTGATGAGGAAGAGGACGGCTTTCCGATGAGACAAAAAGAACAATCTTGCGAATATGAGACTGGGGTAAAAGAGAAGCAAATGGACACGGAGAGCGAAATCTTCTTCAGAAGGCTGATGGATAAGCGCCGTTTTTGCATAAACCTTGGCTACGCGCTTTTAGAAAGAGCCAAAACCTTGACTTTTGGTTGGGCATACGTGACGAAGCGCATCCATAGACGCACGCTATAGTCGTTTATGCGCGATGCTGGCTGGTAACAAGTTAAGCAGCTCATCGTTACTCGATCCCAAAGGCATTTCTTTTGTAATTTCTCGCTCTTCTTGCTCCACCATTGGGATCCGGTATTCTTTTTTATCCCAGCTGCATGAGAGCATATCTATGAAGGCTACACCGCACGTATATGAACCCATTTCCGTTCAGACAAGGATTTTAGAACCTTCGTCTATTTTTCCTTAAAAAAAGAAACTTTATTTCTCCATTATTTTCAGCCTTCAAAGTTTGATATCAGGATAATTGCTACCAATCCCACCAAAAACTGGGGAAAAAACAAATAAAAATAAAAATAAAAATAAGGTATTCGTAATATATGCTTTTGTCACATCATCGCAATGGCAATCAATAACTAAAAGAGTCCCCCTTTTGCTGCCACGTACGGAGTCTGCACATACACATACCGTCTTCCTTACCACGCATTCACAGAGTGCCATCTATCATGCAGAGAGAAGTGCCCATCGATGATGTGACATGTTGAGGACACAAGGTTTTTTATGGGCATCTACTTGGCAGTCAAAGGGAGAGAAAGATGCAAGAGATATGGCAAACTTTCAACTAGTGTGCGCTGGAACGGTCCACGGCCGATGAAGAGCAGAGGCTATCTTTCTAGGTGTTTAATATATCCATCTAGAGTATCAAGGGCTTTTACATCAGTCTTGGCCTTTTTGGACTGCTGTAGCGCATCTGACACTCCGTGTCTTTGCTATGGCTGTGAATGACGTTGTGTGACGGTAACACTCGGAGGTGGAATGAAAGAAACTACAATAATGAAATGATACACGAAACTGGTTGGATTATTGTCCAGACTCTATCCTTATCGAATCCCGACACAAAGGCTACACAGAAAATGTCGATAAAACATAGTTTCTTCATCCTTCTCTGAATCAAAACACAGCGGGCCTGATAGTACAGTACATACTAGTCGTGCCGAATATAGCTCCCGCATTCCTGGAACCAGGTAATCGACCCGCGTATATAACAACAATATAATCTGCAAGGGATAAAATTTTATGACAAAATGATGAAATCCAAATAGCAAGAATGAACTCACCTCGTTTATGTCTAGAACATCTCGGGAAGCTTACCCAACTTGAATATATTTCACTGTTTAATTATGGAGAAGTTCATTGTTAAATTTACCTCTCTTCCGGCCCGCCTCCCGTCCGTGTACGCGTATAAAATAAGACAGATGGGGGAAAGCAGAAGAGCTTCACATGTTTTCAGAGGTTGTCTGGATTAGTGACAACATGGAGCCAAGCATATCTCATGTTCCAGAACATTCTCCTCTCTTTGCTCTGCACGGAGCGGTTGACATATGCATATTGACGACGTGCAGTACGATGGTCTATATCTGGGATCCCGCTGCTGCTCCGGAAGTTTTGGCCCCATTTTCCCCGTGCCTCTAGATGGCCTGGCATCTAGGGATTCAAGAGGTATATATGTCTGAATCTCAAGCGTCAATAATGGATGTCTGCATAAGCAGGGGCAGAAGGCCACTTACCACAACGAATTCTGGGATTAAATATCCTGGTTCACAAACGGGTATACTTCGGCAGAGCCCTCTCACAGGGATTGGCGAATGAAGCCTGTATAATATCTTAACCCATTAATTTCATATAGCTGTACTAAATCTGCAGAAACAAGGAAATCAAATTTCAGTCGAAGAGGTCGTCCAGCTTCCCTTTCTTTCTTTCTTTCTTTTTTTTTTTTCCATTCCGTGTCTGGTCTAATTGGACAATAATCCATGATTAACGTGCATGGCCTCAAAAGAGCATATGAAAAGTTGGCAGATAACTAATTGAAGTGTCTTAGATCACAAACTACGCGGCGAAAGAAGCAAAGCAATAAGCAACCCTAAAGGATGATAAGTTCGGCATTCATCGTTTAAACTAAGAGTAACTAACATTCCAAATACCGGGGTTTGCTGAGGAGCTCAGAAGGTGAAGGTGTTACGTATGCTATTGGCTACCTAGCAAATAAAGTATACTCGTTGATGATGTGTTATGGTATCTTAAACGTGCTATAACGGTATAGGTAAGATAAATTATTTTCTCCAATATATGTAGAATTTTATTCTATAATTATCCGTTATACAGTAAACGCTGCGTGGTTGCATCTGAAAGAATACTAAATATTTTAATGCCAAAGGCGGATAGCCAGCAAAATCATGCAAAACTCCTAGTTTTGGGCTACATGCTGACCACAGATGAATACTCATCTTTTGGACTTAATAGACATACTTCGCAACTCAAACCTCATACAGACACCTGCCTCTAAAAGGGCGAGATGCTCAAAACGAGATACCATCTATCTCGGGGTCAGACTTGGTCTTTTGCCAACTCTTCCCAGATATAACTTACAATCCTGCTTTGGAACGAAGCTCTAACAGAACAATTTTATCGACAACATGTGCATTTAGGGATCGAAACTTTTCACAGGAAGGAGATAACCGGCCTTCTTTGCGTGAATTTCTCAATGCCGAGAACATGGAAGAAGAAACGGGCCATTACTGCAAGCAAAAACACGGGACAGAATAAACTTATTCCTCCTTTTTACCCACAGTTCCGCCTTCCTTTAGGCCAAAGAACGAAACAACTACCACAAATGCCGTGGCTATGAAGATTGTCCAGAAAGACGCGCGGTATCCTTCCATGAGAGCTGCCCGATATTCAAGTATACCGGAATGCTCGGTGACAGAGGCCGCGATTGAAGCCGTTACAGCCAGAACAACAGAGGTGCCGAATTGAGCAACTTCATTGAAGACGCCGCCAGCAAGGGATTAGATTTCAGCTGGGAATGCATCTGAAATCACGAGGTTGGATATAGTGAAGAGAACTGAGATTTGCATTAAACAACAGGGTTAGTAAGCTTCTCATAACTGTGCTTTGGACGAGAATAATCTATACAGTGATAGCATTGGTAGGCGTCTTACCGTCGGGATTTACAGGGGAGAGAAACAAAGCCCAGAACGGGCGGAACCAATAGTTTTCTTTCACTTCAACTGTGGCCATCAGAATGGGGGCAATCATGGTCGCTAGGGCAGAGACGACGGCGAGAGTTCGCACTTTAACCCGGGAGGTGAAGAAGGCCGTAGCAATGTTGGCTGATACGCCCATGATAACATGGGCAAGAAAGCGGAGCGAGCTTTGTAGAGCAGAAAGCCCTTCGACTTGTTGGAAGCTGTGAACCTATCAGATACGTTTATATTAGGTCAAAGTGTTGCTTCCTATGTTTTCTCTGGTCTCACAAAGCGGATAGGAAATACACCATCTCAGAGAAATAGCAAATAGGACTCATACTAGAGGGTAATGAAGTACTCAATTCCATTCATTGAAGCCCAGCAAAAGAAGACAGATGCACATATGGAGGTGAAAGAAGCCCTCTTCCATAGTCTGTTCGGGATCAGTGCGGGCTTTCCTCTCTTAACTTGATAATGCATCCAGCAGGGAAAGGCAGCAAGCAGGACGCATGATACAATGAGCAGAGCAATATCCTGTGGATCACCGATTCTGTAGTACGAGGAGGTCGTCATAGCTAGGACATACAACAAGACTCCAAGAGCACTGCTAATAATAACAGCACCAAGCCAGTCAATATCTTCCAGAAGACGGCGTGTCCACGGTTTCCTTGCATCCGAGTTATTTTTGATAGACGGCAATGACCAAATAGATACCAGAGAAAGACAGATGTTGATCAATGCCATCATATAATAGGCCCATCGCCAGTCAATGGTGTCCGTGAAGATGCCTCCCAAAACCAGACCAACAACGTATCCAAGAGGCTGGCCCATCCCATTCATTACAAATGCGAAGTTGCGCCAGAAGCCCTTGGGGAAAGTGTTGGTAATGAGGCTAACTGCCGTAGGCAGACACATGGATATCGCAGCACCGGCGAAAGTGAGAAAGATAATGATCTGAATACCAGTCTTCGCCACGCCAATTGCGACAGTGAAAATGACAAAGAGAAAGCTGCCCACTACCCACATCAATTTTGCCCCAACAACATCTGCAATGGCTCCAAATATAAGGAGGAGACACTCAGCAGCAAGGGCATAGACAGCTGCCGGCCAGAGGATCAGTGCTTGGGGTATCCCAACATCTTTGGCGATTCGAGGCAGGGCGGCTATGAGAATACCTGAGCCCATAGTGTTCAGGAAGCTCACACCAGCCAAAGTGATAATGACTGCCACAGCTTCTGGCTTAGACACATTGAGATCCGTCGGCATCATTGCTGGCTGTGATCCATCTTCGGAGGAGAAGAGGGAACCGGGAAGGTCATTTGTGGCTTGAGAGATTGCCCTTCCTCGCTCCTCAATAGTCTCCCGGGGCTTTTGAAGGGATGAAGGTCCTGGTGCTGATAGAAGAGAGAGCCCGATCATCGATGTAGTTGTATTCTTCCCAATTGCCATGGTGGCGGTGTCTTCAACAAGAATGAGAGCAGAACTTCGGATACAAACGCAGCAGAAGAGAGGAGAAAATAAGTAAGTATCCGATCGATTTGGATAAGAGAAAACTCATTTTTACGGCTGATTCACCCCTTGTCAGCGAGATAGTCAGCGAAACTAATATTGAGCAGTTCACACGAGAGACTTGCGGCTTATTCAGTTGCAAAGGATTAACTATCATCATTCACACTACTTCTTAGTTCACCTCCAAGAATACAATCATCTCTACCCATCCAGAGCAACTCCCACGGATGATACCTAATCCCTGTTCATTGATTTTCTTTATTTCTTTTTCAGGATTTAGATATCTCACTTGAGAAGTGCTGGCGCGTTGCGAATAGAAACAATCGCTGATCTTCGATGAATCAAGGGTTAGGCAGCATAAGGCGCTGGATGTGAGAGAAAAGACGCCAGAAAATCTTTAAACTAATTGGCCGACTACAAAGTCAAAATGAAAAAACACATATTCCGCAGTATAGAGATAAATCCCTATAGAATTGTTGATGAAATATTGAAGTGATCTGAATTCTGTAACGTTGTCGAATAGAAAATTTTTATATAACTAACTAGTTACACAAAACTAGATATTCTTATTTTAGCCACCAGCGCCGCATAAAAGTTAAACTGTCAGCCATACGATCAATCATAGTAGAAAAATTCCTTCAGAAATTGCAAAACACAGACGTAATAGAGAATTAATCATAAATAATGTCCTCGAGGTCATAATGCAGATGGGTTAGCCGGGAATTGGGAAATGTCATGTATATCACATTGCATGTAATAATACCATAGAAGTGAAATAAAAAAACAGAATAGACATAAGGGGAAATAAACCCCAGCGGCAAAACATAAGAAATGAAAACATTCTGGACAAAAAGAAAACAAGAATGCTAATAGAGGGGAGTAATAGAACAAATCAGACCATAAAAATTACCCTTGCTCATTAAATTATTAACCAAACTTTGGTGCCCCACTCACCATCTCCGCACCCTCAGCGGAGGGGGAACCTTGTCCTCATTAACGAATATCTCATGTTCAATGATCCTTTCCTCCTCATATTCCGGCCTCTCAATCAGCCGAGTCTCAACCGGGGGCGCTGGGGCTGGAAGGGGCAGGGGAGGAGGTGTCATGATCCGTGCCCGTTCGAGTTCGATTTCTCGGACTCGCATGCGGCGCGCCTTACGGTAGTCTTCCGAGACGGCTACGAGGTGCTCGACGTCGTCCTGTGTTGGCAGTTCTTAATTTGAAGAAAACAACGGGATGAAAATAGAAGCGAGAAAAAGGAGGGAGGAGGGAAGGGGAATGGAATCCTACATATTTCAAATAGGCGAAAATATAATAAAGGTGTTTCGTTTCCTCGTAAGAATACCCAAGCCTTTCGATTGCTTCCTTGACAACGAGATCTTTGGTAATCTCCGTCCAAAGCCCGTCCCGTTTATCCTTCACTCCCACGTAACGTTTTCCTATCCGGCCGCCGTCCTGAACAGGACCTCTGTCTGAGATATATTCATCCCCGTCTACGAGGAACTTTGATCGACGAAAGCCGTTATAACGCTGCCAAGTAATCTCCTGGCTGGCGCCG